ATGAAAGCTGTTCCTGCTGTAAGCTTGTTGCTTGTAGAACGGCGTTGGAAAACAAAGCGTTTTTTTCCCCTCAATTCATTTATACTCTCATTTTACCTCAGCGGTAAGTGTTCTTAACATCTACCAATAACACCCTTTTACTTGTCAGTGACCAGTTGATCGTTTTCGCTATAAAAAATGACCTTGTTCGGCAGAGTTCCCACCGCGAGCAGAACTCCGGTTCAAAAACGCTGTTTTTGAAACACTTTTACTTACTTAAGCACTTTAATGGGCTTAACTTGAAACCAAGAGCAATCGAATGATTATTGTTATGTGTTGCCTTGAATTCAGCTATGCTGTCTGTCAGACCGTTGTTTTCCTTTATTGTTGTTTTTGTATTTGTTTGTAGCAAACGCTACTGGAATGCATAGATTGAGCTACGTAGCCAAGATGATTAATAATTGACCTGTTGTACATTCGTGATATGTTTACCGGTAAACTGAATAGAACTTGATGTGCTAATGAACGTTTCTCTGGCCTACAGGTCAGGTTTTTTTTCCCCATGTTGAACTGATCTTCTTCATATTGAAGTGGCGAGCTGGTAGGACCATTCTTTCTTTTTGGAATCGGGAAATTAGCTATTATTTACCCCACGAAAAACGGAGCGGCAGCGGGCCACTGGAGGTGCCCTGCTAGTATGATCCCGTTTAAACTGTAAACTGCCATAAAATAAAAACTATAATAGCTAGAGCTGTCTTTTTTAGCTGAAAGTTGGGACTCTCGCCTTTCAGCACATCTGTACTGTACAAGTCGATGATGCCATCATGTTGCGTTAAGTGTGTCTATTTCAGTAGAACTTTGACAAGTGGTGAGAAGGTGGCCAGGAGCTGGATGTTGTAGTCAGTTAGCAAACGTTGTTATATATACACTCCACGCAATTTGAAACAAAGTTGTAGGTGTAATGTTTTTTCGTGTGTGTGTGGGTGGGGGTGGGGTGGGGTGGGGTGGGGGGTGGGGGGGTCACAGGGGGATCTCGCACAGGGCGCCATTTAGGCCAGCTCTGCCTCTGAAAGCACCTGTAATGATCCAATACATCTTACGTCATCTTATATATGACGTAAGGAACCATCAAAAAATCAATTTGAATATTACTTTAAACAGAAGATCAGAACTTTTTATTGCAGGGATTAGGTAACATGTCATATTAACCCAGAGTCAAAAGAGAGAGAGAGAGACAAGTTTTAAAGTTTAAGAAGTTTTATTTCTAAACAATTTAAAATGAGGCTAACTAACTCTAAACACGCTGTGTGATGAACGGATCTAGGTGTGAATGAGGCAAGATGAATGGTGTAATGTTGTTATCAGAACTCTCGTTTCCAGAGAAGCATTAGTTCTGTGTGGGAGCGAATGTTTTTGCTCTAAACTACAGTCGGAGTTCCAAAACCACATTCAGATGCCATCTTGCCACTCTACATACCCTTGGCGGAGACGTCCGTTGTAGATCCAGAATACCAGGTCCTCGGACCCCCCTTCGGTACCGGAGCTGATGAAACAGCGTACGGTACGACAGACTAGTCTTGGATTGCCTCCAGGTAAGTGACAGGTGTTTGAAAGCGTCGGCAGGACCCTGAAGGGTCAGTGAGTTCAGCTTTTACTCGGAAGGAGTGTTGCATCAGGTGTAGCTTGCAACAGGTTTTATTATCCAGTTTGTCAAGGTTCTTTGTGGTTAAAAAGTTACGAGTGGCCGGCTCGAAACTCTAGAACATTGAACTGAGTTAAGGGTGATGTGGGAAGTAGTTTTATAATTCAGATGTTTTGATTTAAGGTCGAATCAGAATTTGACATCAAAATAAACACCGCACAGACCACGCCACGTGTCAGAAAGGAAAGCTCTGATTGGAGAGACAAGAGGACTGTGTCATGTGATTTTAACATTACTTGTGATCAGTCTAGCTTAAAGTTATATTACTTATTATATACTGTCATAGGATTATAATATCAAGTAATCATGGACGCGATATTGGTCAGGGGACAGGGGGGACATGTCCCCCCCCCCACACACACACTTTTTCCAAAGACAAGTTTTGACCCCTGCACTTTTTACCATCCAAAAACAATATTACGCCACATTAAATTGACACTGGTTGAGCTCTAGGACCAAGTGGAAAACAACCGTTTGTGTTGAAGCCTGTTTCCCATTAGAGCGTACTGTAAAGATATACCCCCCCACCCCCACCCCCCGTGGCCCCCACCCCCCACACTTCTAAAGTGAAAATTACATCCATGCAAGTAATTAATATTCTTATTTCACAGATTGATTGAACATTGAGCTTCACATAATTAATTGGACTAACAAAGTTATTTGATTATTAGTTAAAGAGTTCTTGATTTCTATAAGAGTTCTTCTTGGTCTTCTCTTGAGCTGTAGGGGGAGGCAAATAGCTAGTTAAAACAGTTTAGATGCAGATGCATCAAAAGCCTTGAGCAATATCTCAAGGAGATTAGTTCTTCATGAGGAGAGAGGGGAATGACCTTTAGGTGGAAAACAGTTCTTTCATGATGCTACACACCCATCCTCAGGTGTGCTTGGCATTAACCAATTAAATTAAATTAAATTCAAGTTTATTTATATAGCGCCAAATCACGACAAGAGTCATCTCAAGGCACTTCACATAATAAACATTCCAATTCAGGTCAGTTCATTAAGCCAATCAGAAATAATGTTTCCTATATAAGGATCCCAGCAGATTGCATCAAGTCAATCAAAATCAGACCTTGAAGACATGACACTGATAGTTTGAGATGAAGGTTTTCCTTTGGGCTGCTGATTAACACACAGTTTGTGTTTAGATGTTTTTGGCATTGATAACTTCTTGATCATTAATCACGTTGATTCCAGTGAAGGCATGCGTGCCACTTTTCCAACAGTCAGAATGAACTGCTAAACTGCACGTTGTTGCTCAGCAAACAAAGCAGAATCCATTTCTGAGTTCTACAGCTCAGGTAATAAATCCTCCTCCTTTTCTCAAGGGGCAAGACTATGGAACACTTGCCTTCATGCATTACACCCTTCCTGTGGGCATTTACATCCACTGTTGATTACCTACTGTTGCACTAAATTCCCTTTTAATTCTCTGCAGGGAACACCCGTTTCCTCTCTATTGTATGTTTCCTCCGTTCTCACCGAGCACATTGTGGCTTGTTGCTTAATTAGGCACCGTTTTCTGTTTGAATGGAAGCATGCATATGTGACAGTACAGTTAATGCCGGAGTGGACCAGCTGAACCATTTTATAAAGAAGTTGGGTCTCTGCATCCCTTCTTGGATAACATCTTAAACAATATTAGCTCAGCAGCTTTACTTTAAGTTAGTGATGACTTATAAGTTTGAAAGTATCAAAATTAAAGAGCTGCTGCTTAAAACACCCCTAATCTTTTTTTATTTAAAAAAATGTTGAAATCAGAAATATTACTATATTATCTCTGGAAATGCCCCACGCTGCTTTGGAGTTGTGTTATACATCTTCATAAATAGACCAACATGTAATGAATTAGTGTTTTCATGAATGCACACAGATGCTGTTGCAGGTGTCTGCCCTGTTTGACTTTCCACAGGATGCATCTGCATTGTGTGCGTAGAAGTGGCCTTCAGTGTCACAGGAAATTCTTCTAATTAACAGCTACACTTTATTAATAATTAAATCCTGTGTTGTTGTTTAAATACAAAAGTATCAAACTTATAATTAATACAGACATACAGTACAATAAAAACAACATAAGTGGAACTCAAATATATGTATAAAATGTATTTTTGACCTCCGGTGGTTTTTATTTTTATTTTTTTAGCTTTTCAACAAAAAAGATTATTGCTTCAACATCCATATTTTTAAATCAATGTGAAAATTAGCCTATTAATCAGTTAACTCATCTTATTAAGACGAGATTAGATAAGTAAAGCAGTCTGGTATTGATGTAGTTTTGGGATATAATCCATAAACATCAAGTTCATTGTATCTTTGTACCAATATTTTATTTATTCTTTATTTAACCAGGAAGGTCCCATTAAGATTAAAAACATAATTTTCAAGGGAGTCCTGGCCAGGAGGCAGCAAAAGTTACAAAAATCCTTCCATCCATTTTCTGAACCTGCAAACTCCATGCAGAAAGATCCCAGGCCGGGAAGCAAACCCCGGACCTTCTTACTGCAAGGCCACAGCTCTAACCACTGCGTCACTGCGCAGCCCAAGTTACAAAAATTATATGCAAAATTATAGAAGGCAGTTACAACACAGTGTATCCATCTCAATGGTTCTCATTCTGGTTTTAAATGTATTTAAGGAAATTAACTCTGTTAACTTCCATATATAATAAGATCCATTTGATGATCCTGTAAAACATCAGGACGTATTTTGTGTCTTCAAGCTTCTTCTGTAAAATATAGTTGTGCTGATGCTGATGCAAAAAAAGCACCACACTGTTTTCACATACTTTTTCACCAGGAGCTGATTTTGGCGGTGGCAACTGCCTCATATTTCAGTTAAAATAGCACAACAAGAACGTTAGTGACTTTAGAAAGTACCTCAGTGTTTGACCTCTACAAAAACATCCACAAATTTATTTTGAATAATTTTTAAAGAACATAGAACTTTAGTATACTGTCGTAACCCCGGTTCTCTGAGTAACATGAGTGAGATGTCTCACTATGGGATACGCCCCTCCGCGGATTCCTCAGAAGCACTTATCTCAATACGCCAATCCTGATTGGCCAGTGACCGTGACGTACGCGTCCCCCTGCTACTATAAGTAGCAAGCGTCCCAACGTACGCACTATTCAAGATAAACACCTCTTCTCGCTTCGCCCAGCAAGAAGGGTTGTCTGGTGAGACATCTCACTCATGTTACTCAGAGAACCGGGGTTACGACAGTAACCTAAAGTTCTCTTTCTTAACATTCGTTTCGATGTCTCATTATGGGATATGGAGACTCCCGTATTGCCAGACAGCTTATCCAGCGATCACCAACCTACAGGGATACGTCTTGGCCCGCCAAAGACCCCACACTCAGAATCGTGTGAGTCATTGCAGGGACAGAAACATCAAGCTTATAGAAGCGTGCAAATGCAAGTGGAGAAGCCCAACTTGCTGCAGCACAAATCTCCTGGATTGACAGCCCCCGAAAAAGGGCCCAAGAAGCAGACAGGCCCCTAGTAGAATGGGCCCTGAGCCCAACAGGAGCCTGAATGCCCTGACAGGAGTAAGCCATAGAAATAGCCTCCACAATCCAGTGGGAAAGCCTCTGCTTTGTGACGGGTTTCCCCTTACGAGGCCCACCCCATGACACAAAAAGCTGGTCCCCCCTGCGAAGGTTCTCCGTCCGATTCACATACTCCTTGAGCGCGCGAATCGGACACAGCTTGTGCCACCGCTCCTCCTCAGGAGAGGAGAAGGGTGGCGGGTAGAAAGCTGTGAGGATAATAGGAGAAAAGGAGCCCACCACCTTAGGCACAAAGGCAGGGTTGGGCTTCAGGGACACCTTCATGTCACCGGATGCAAACTGGGTGCAGGATGGGTGCACAGAGAGAGCCTGTAAGTCACTAACTCGCTTTGCAGATACCAAAGCCAGGAGTAGCACCACCTTAAGAGACAGGATCTTAAGGTCCAGGCCGTCCATAGGTTCAAATGGAGGCCCGGAGAGGGCCGACAGCACCAAGGACAGATCCCATGAGGGCACCAGGGGTCGAGACACAGGGAGAAGCCTGCGCGCGCCCCTCATGAAGCTACACACCAGGGGGTGTTGACCTGCCAGTTTCTTCCCAAAACCCAAGTGTCGGGCGGAAATGGCTGCTAGGTACACTTTAATGGTGGAGAAAGCCTTCTTCCCATCCAACAAGTCTTGCAGGAAAGACAGAATGACGTTCACCGGGCATTGGAAGGGTGAGACCTCCCTGCCCTGACACCAGGCTTCAAACACCCTCCATTTACAGTCATATAGGGACCTAGTGGAGGGGTCCCTAGCATTCTGAATGGTTCGAATGACTGCCTGGGGCAGCTCTGCTGACACTAGCCCGCACCCCTCAGGGGCCAGGTCCACAGGGCCAGCCGTTCTGGATGAGGGTGGAAGATCGAGCCTCCCGCTTGGGACACCAGGTCCCTGCGAAGCGGAAGTTTCCAAGGTTGGCCCTCCAGGAGCTGGAAAATGTCCGCCACCCAATGCATGGCTGGCTAGTATGGGGCCACCAGAATGAGAGTGTGGATCTGGGTTCGTACCCTCAGCAAGGTGGGTGGTATCAGGGCCACTGGGGGAAAAGCGTAAAGCAGTCCCCGTGGCCAGTCGTGCGCCAGCGCGTCCACGCCGAGTGGAGCGTCTCGGTCGCGCAGAGGATAGTGAGCATTCTCCTTGGAAGCAAAAAGATCCACTACGGCTGTGCCGAACCGGATCCAAATCTGTTCCAACACTGCTGGATGCAGGCTCCAATCCCCGTACAGGGGTGTCCCTCTGGACAACAGATACGCCCCCCGATTCAGAACACCCGGGACATGGGTGGCTCTGATTGAGAGGAGATGCCTGCTGCACCATAGGATCAGTCTGCGTGCCAGCGTGTGTAACCGCATGGAGCGCAGCCCCCCCTGGTGGTTTATATAAGCCACAGTCATGGTGTTGTCTGTTCTCACTAGGACATGATGGCCAGAGAGAAAAGGCAGGAAGCGCCTCAGGGCTAGAAAGACCGCGAGGAGTTCCAGATAATTTATGTGTATCCCCCAGAGCTCTCTGCTCCACACACCCCTGACAGAGCGACCCTCCAGGAGCCCCCCCCCCCCCACCAACCTGACAGGCTCGCATCTGTCGTGACCACTTTCCTCACGAGAACCAACCCCAAAGGCACCCCCTGTGCCAAGAGGGAGGGGTGACGCCAACAGCGGAGCGCTGCGACGCACGCTGCAGAGACCGTCACCCTGCGCGCTCTGTGGCGCACTGGAGAGAGACCCAGAGAAGCCACCCAGCGTTGAAAATCTCTCATGTGTAGACAGCCGAGTGGTACCACTGAAATAGCCGACGCCATGAGACCCAAAAGCCTGAGGCATAACGCAAACCGCACCGAACTGTGTAGGCGGAAGCGCGCCAGGCAGAACGAGAGCGCGTTCACGCGCGGTGCCGAGAGACGGGCCATGAACGCCCCTGAGTCCAGATTCAGACCTAGAAAGGTTATTTTCTGGGAGGGGAGTAAAGCGCTTTTCTGCCAGTTTATTCTGAAACCCAGACCACACAAGTGATGGATCACAACCAGCGTGTTTGACGCTGTCTCCTCTCTGGACCGTGCCAGCAGGAGCCAGTCGTCTAAATACGTGGCAAGCCGAATGCCCCTCCCTCTCAGAGGGGCGATCGCCGCCTCCGTACATCTGACAAACACCCTCGGGCTCAGCGAGAGGCCGAATGGGAGCACGGTGTATTCGTAACACACACCCTGAAAGGCAAACCTCAGAAATTTCCTGTGTGGAGGGTACACGGGAATATGAAAGTATGCGTCCCTCAGGTCGATTGAGGTGAACCAGTTGCTCTGGTGAATCAGACACAAAAGGGATGAGAGCGTGAGCATTTTGAATCTGTACTTTCTGAGGCATCGGTTCAGGGCCCTCAGATCCAGGATCGGGCGAATCCCGGTCCCTCCCCGCTTCGGGACCAGGAAGTACCTGGAGTAGAAACCGCTCTGAGACCGATCGGGAGGCACAATGCATATTGCTCCCTTCTCCAGCAGGGAGGAGATTTCTCCCTGAAGGATGTGAGCTGACGACCCCTGGGCGTGGGAGAACACTACGCCGGAGAATCGAGGAGGAACAGAAGCGAATTGGAGCCTGTAACCCCTGGAAATAGTTCTCAGCACCCAACGTGAAGCAGAAACCGCTGTCCATTCCTCCATGTGAGTGGAGAGCGGTGACGCAGCCGTGACACACGGAGCAGCAGCTCCCTCCAGAGGTTGTGGGGCAGCAGTGCTCGTGGCAGCCACTGCGCATGCGCGGGGGCTTTGTGCTTTGACGGCCCAGGCTTACGGGGACTACCCGTGGCTTGCGGGAAAGTCCGCCAGGGGCCGCCCCCACCTGGAACTGCTCATGGGTGACATTTTTATTGATTTTTGCTGCACCCTTGACATCTTGTCTGGATGTGACAGCGAACCTTTTAATGCTCCTTGAGCGTGACATGTTTGTGAAAAACAATGTGAGTGCTTGTGACGTGTGTTTTGAGCCGGCACCGCCGGCTGCACGTCCTGGCCCCACCCTGGACCGCTCGGGAACTCTGCCGGAGGGGTTCCGTGAGGGGGGGGGGGGGGGGGGGAGAAAGCACCATGGCAACATCGAACAGGAGGAGCTGGCGAACGGGGAACCGCCAGCTGCAGCGTCGGGAGGGAAGAACTCCGACAGGCTGCCCACTTCTTCCTCCTCACCTGCTGACCGCCGTGTCTGGTGGATTGTCCCGGCGGCGGAGCAGCTTGGTTGCCGGATCCCTGAGGCCAAACTGGTCGAGGCTCTGAGCCCGAAGGAGCTGGTTGGACAGCTTGAGGCTTCGGGCGCTTTGGGATCCGGAACTGAGGCTGGGCTCGGGCAGCTGCCTGAGGCAGGTTCGGCCGAGCCGGCAGCGCCGGTGAGGGTTTACGGGGAAGGCAGAGATGAAGGGTTTCATCCTCTTTCTTTTTGGCCGCACACCGTTGCTGCATTGATGCCAGGGCAGAGCCAAAAATGCCTTCAGGCACGATTGGCATGTCCAAAATGTCCTCCTTCTCTCTCTCAGAGAGGTTGGTGAGGTTCAGCCATCGTGCACGTTCTTGAAGCACCATCATGCCCATAGCTTTAGCTGTAGCCTGGACCGCGCAGCGCTGCACACGCAGGCAGATGTCGGTCAGTACGGTGATTTCCTCCCACACCTCCGGGTCCAGCTTCGTATTCATGTCCTCACAGAGCTCGGCTTGGTACGCCGAGAGCATGGAGGAGACATTCAAAGCTCGGACCGAGATGGCGGCAGCCTTGTACGCCCTCTCGTTCAGCGCCGACTGGAAGCGGTCCGCCTTCGCAGGGAGAGCGGGAGGCCTGGAGGAAGTCGCCGAGAGCCGTGGGTGCAGGTGGGCTGCAACCAGCGGTTCCATCGGCAGCATGCGAAGCATGCCAGCCTTCTCCATCCCTTCGAAGTCCAGCGAGGAGGCTCCTTGGACAGGAGACCTGGAGCTGAATGGGTGTTTGTCCCAGGAGGACCTCACTTCTTGGAGTAGCTCCGGGAAAGCGGGAAGGAGGGGCTTTGCCGCCCTCGTGGCCTGAGGCAGCTTCTTTCCCTCGTAGCGGGATCTGACAGCCTCAGTGACCACGGTGGGCCAAGGGATGTTGAGCCTGGTCGCAGCGCGTCGGCAGACTGACTGCATGTTCAGGTGGGCGGCCGGAGAAGCCGCTCCATCCCTGGGAGAGGACGGAAAGCTAGGCATGGAGGCCTGAGCGATGGGGAGAAAGACGTCGTCCTCCTCGTCCTCCTCTGAAATGAGGAGTTCCGAGGTGTCCTCGTCGTCTCCGTAGTCCAACTCCAACACGTCCTCTGCGGGGTGGCTCGGACCGGCCAGTTCGAGCTGTGAGCCCCAGCTGAGTTCGGCACACGGTTCCGGCTCCGGGAGGACATGTTCGCTGGCATCCCCAGGCGGTGGCCCAGGGGCCGGCAAGCAAGGGTCCTTCCCCGACAGGCTAGCTTGGCGCGCTAGCCACCGGCGAAGGCTCTTCAGGGTGAAGCAAGTGCAGCTCTCACATGACCCGGGGACTTCCAATGCCAGCTGGGCGTGTTCCAGCCCGAGGTAGCTCGAGCAGACCCTGTGCGGGTCTTTGCTTGAGATTTTGTTCCCACAGGTACAGAGGCGAGCTCCTGCGCCGTCGACTCCTCTGGTGGGAGGAGCGGCTTCCATGTCGGCTAACTGGTGTGTTAGCATAGAACGAACAGATGCACTGGAGTGTGAAGCTGCTCGTTATGCCCCGAGCCTATGGTGAAGGTCAGGACAGAAGGACGGTAAGTTAACGTTCGGCGACGGAGAGAATATAAGCTGGCTCCGTCTGTGAACAGTTGAGCTAACTTACCTCAGAGATAAGCGACCACCGAAGCGAGAAGAGGTGATTGAATAGTGCGTACGTTGGGACGCTTGCTACTTATAGTAGCAGGGGGACGCGTACATCACGGTCACTGGCCAATCAGGATTGGCGTACTGAGATAAGTGCTTCTGAGGAATCCGCGGAGGGGCGTAATCCATAGTGAGACATCGAAACGAATGTTAAGAAAGAGAACTAAAATGTAAACGAACAGAAGCAAACAGGTAGAAGGAAAGGGCTGGAGCACTTGGGCCAAACAACAATATTTAATCATTGAAACATTTCAATGTCTTCATTAGAGTTGATGAGGCTGATGAAGAAACCATTGTTCAAACGTTAGTTTTTTAAAATCTGCAATGATTAAATATAATTCTTTGACCTTAGTGCTCCAGCCCTTTCCTTCTAAAAACACAGTTGTTGTTCCACGGCTGTTGAGCACTGGTGTTCCACTGGATGGTGCGCAGAGTGCCCGTTGACTTTATGCAAGCACCTGCTTGATGCCAGGATGTTTGATAAACAAGGTGTTTTTTCTTCAATCCTCTTTGCCTGGAACATTTTCCCCAATAAAAATAATGAAAGGGAAAATAATTAACTTGAAGTTTATTTTTCACATAATGAAAATGAAGCTTGTGTTGCAACTGAAATGGATGCAAACCCACTAAGGGCAAATTTTAACAACATGACAATTATTAATAGAATGACAGCTGTGCATTTTACTAGCGTTCATAATCTTACGGAGGAGAGCTAGTATCATTTTGACTAAATGTTTAAGCTAACATATAGGCTAAGTTGGGTCACTAGACGTATTGCTGCAGTCTTAAAACTATTTGCAGTGGCAGAAGAATAAGGGCCTGCCCTGTAACAGGGGGGTTGCAGGTTTGATCCCCATCTGTTAGTCTTGTCTTTGGGCTAGACATTTCAGCTGCCCTGCCTGCTGGTGGTTGTCAGAGGGACCAGTGGATCCTGTGCTCGGTAGCCACGCCCGTCAGTGCGCCCAAGGGCAGCTGTGGTTAGATGGTAGTTTATCACCACCAAGGTGTGAATGTGTGTTTGTGTGGGTGAATGACTGATTATGTTGTAAAGTGCCTTGGGGGGTTCATCATATATCAAATTCAGGCCCTTTACCAAATTTTAGAAAAAGCACACCGGTTCATGTAAACATCTTTTTCTTGTATATGATTTATTTATAACTTTTTCCACAGTTACAGCACATCCACATACCTACAAACTAAAATAAAATAAAATAAAAAAAAGAAAAATTAAAGAAAGAAAAAAACTAAAAGAATAAAACACATGCGCTGCGGTAACAAATAGGCAACCAACCTGTGGCTATGCCGGCGATAGCTCTACAAGGCCAAGGTTAAATGTCCATGTCGAGTGTCACAGAGGTCACATGGTCTTGGAACGGCCTCCAGATTTTGGCAAAGTCAGTTTCCGAGCCCCTCGGGATGAACCTTATTTTCTCTAGTTTCATAAAATAGAGGGTATCTTTAATCCAGCGGGAGTGGGTCGGTGGATGAGGGTTTTAATATGACACCTCACTTGAGACCAAATCTTAAGACAGTTTTTAACTATAATATTGCTTGTCTACAAATGTGGGCTAACGTTTGAAGGGAGACACAGGAGAGGGAGAAAAGAGGCAGAGTCAGATGTGGCCTCCTCCAGTCGCAGCCAAAATGACTTTGTAGATTTGGTCTGACACCAAAATAGCATCGTGCGAATATTAACAGCCCAATAATAGTACTGAACATTTGGAAGGGCAAGGCCTCCCAGGTCCTTACTTTTCTGTAGAAGGCTCTTGTGCATTCTGGGAGGTTTTTTGTTCCATAAGAACTGCAAAATAGAACTGTCAAGAGTCAGAAAAAAACTTTTTGGAATGAACACCGGGATGCATTGAAAGAGATACAGGCATCTTGGCAAGAAGTTCATTTTAATACAGCTAATCCTTCCTGCTAAAGAAAGAGGCAGCATAGACCAGCACTGCAAATCCTGAGCCAACTGCTCCAACAGAGGGTCAAAGTTAGTTTTAAAAAGTTTTGAGAAGTCTTTGGTTACATGGATACCCAGATATTTAAAACTTTGCGAGACAGCCTTAAAGGGCAGACTAGAAAGTGGGTATGCCGTCGCAGCTGAGTAAATCGGAAGGATTTCACTTTTATCAAAGTTAAGCTTATATCCGGATATCTGTCCAAAGTCCCTCAGCAAAGATAGAATTGGAGACATGGAGTTATCTGGGTCTAGGGTTGTCACGGTAACCGGTATAGCGGTAAACCCCGGTAAAAAAGTTGACAATAAAAATAACCGTCCAGTTTTTAAAAAACTAAATTATCTCGGTGGGTTTACCGTGGCCGCGGTTTCGGCGCGGTGACCCTTACCAGCCACCGTCGCTTCAGCTGAAGTTCCCGCGGCGCGCACACGCACTTTTTAGTTTGCAACGGCACCAAAACTTTGAAGCTGAAGTAATGGCCGAAGGAGGAGACGGCAGCGCCCAGGACATCCATCAGCCCTCAAAGAAGACTAAATCGGAAGTATGGGCATATTTTGGATTTCTGAAAAATGCTGAGGGACAGTTAATAGAAGACTGCTATCCCGTTTGCAGAACGTGCAGGAAACAAGTGTCTGCAAAAGGCAGCAACACTTCGAATCCAATGGCACATCTGCGTGACCATCACCCACGTCCCTACAGCCAGTGCAAGGTAAGTTCACATTAGCATTTTAGCTTAAATGCATGACGTGAGGACTTTTGGCTGAGGGAGAATGCAACGAGTCACTATATACTGCAGCCGCAGTGTCCTCTGCCAGCATTTAAACCGTGTCACGGACACCCTGTTGCTGGATGAAGCATCTTATTTGTTGATGATGAAGAGAAATATACAATTAGTTCCTTGTCATTGATTTGTTTACTTATTCAATGCCATTTATACTTGAACATTTGGATTTGATTACATAGTGTAGTAGTTATTTTAGTCATTTGTTTAAAGTGGCTATTTATTTTAAATACATATTTTTT